AAAGGTGCATCTTTTTTCGTTGTAGCGCTGAGTTGGAGTCAATCCTAGAAGCGTAGTATGCACATATTATCGTATCGAATACACACTGTACATATGTCAACATTGTTCTTACTTGGCGACCATGACAGTCTTGTCATGCTTTATATTCGACAATAGTTAAAGGTCTTGGTCCATCCTTCGGCTTCGCCTCCAGTGCCTCTTGAAGTGAGGATTTGTCGTTTCGTGGTACGGGTGTACCATCCATACCTTTCCAACGGCGTACAGCCAGCGGATATTGCTTGCCGTACTAGTACTCCTCTTTTGAATCCCAGATCGTTGGCATAGTGGGCGGTCCTGCCTACCATGCGTTGTAAATGGTTCTTCTTGTTCCTTTTTATTATTATTAATTTTCTATTGATTTTATTTCATTCTTATGGTTCTTTATGGATCACATTAATATTCGGTTTTTTTTTCTGGATATAATTTTTGATTTAGAAATAATTTTGTAATGATTCTTTATTTTTAAATGTTTCGTGTATGAAGTGTTTTTTAATTTTGCACTTTTTCGCACTTTCACTTGTCCTGTCACGGTCGCCATGTAATATTGTGAGAAATCATAATACGTTGTCGTTGTGAGTGGTATTTCAGGACTAAACTTTTATTCGCAATAATTTCTTCTTAAATGCTAAAAGCTGAAGTGAGCAGTGATAGGAGTATATGCATGCATTGGCATGTTTGTCTTATGTATATATATACCACGAGACGGCTGGTGTTAGCGCCAGTCGTCTCCGTGTGGGAATGCATGGTCAGCATTTTATGGCCTGCTCGCTTGCCGGACGCTTGAAACGGAAAGTGTTAGTTTGTATGGGCATATATAATGTATATATTAATGTAATTAAAACCGAATTAAATTTATATACTCCGCTCGCAACAATATCTATGGCTTGCAATTGCCTTCGTATGTTTATTTTTCTTATAAAATATATGGCCAATATTTTTTTATGACAACAGTTACCATTAACGAAGTATGACCAGTACCATGATAAAATCTAATTCATGTAACTTTAGTTTATGCAGTTTTTAATATTTGCTGTGTGGTTAACTAAAGGTGTGCCTAACGGATTCCAAATAACTTCAGGTGTCTTGCTCATCTCTCCTATGTGTGACAACGCCAGTGTCCCTTGATCTTCTAACTGAATACTGTCATGAGCTACCAAGATATCATTATCTTTTCGAGCAGTACAATCAGATCTAATTTATAAAATCCCTAGTTCCGGTAAATCAATTATCTCTAACTTCGAGTTGCTGCATTGAAGTCGAGCCTTTGTATTAACCTAAATTCCTTACCTTTATTCTTACTTACTAAATTCCAAGAAGAAACTACGATTTCCACATCGCCCATTGGGTCAAGATAAATTGCTGACGTTTTCAAAAAAAAATAGTCAAACGGAACACGACGTTTTTTCACTCGAATAATTACTTGGCGACCATAACAGTCCTGTCGTGGTCGCCAGACAATATGACATTACATTATTACATGGCGACCGTGACAGGACCAGTGAAAGTGCAAAAATAAAAACACTACTATCAAACTTGACAATTTTCAATGTAATCCAAAAACAAAACAAAAAAAAAAGATTTAATGTAATACTCCTTTAAACAAAACTGACATTCCTTATAGTGCTTTCGACAGAGTGATAGTAGACACTATTGGTCCACTACCGAAATCTGAGAATGGTAATGAATATGCAGTGATCTAGCAAAATATTTAGTTTTCAATTGCAAATAAATTTACAAAAACTGCCTCAAAAGCTATATTTGAAGATTGTATTCTAAGTGCATCCAATGAAGACGTTCATTACGGACACTAGAAGACTCTAAGCAAATACAACAAAAAAATATAGACACACACAGCTACATATTATATAACATATTATCAGCAGACCGTAAATAAAACAGAAGCAATACGCAAAAAAAAATAATATTCATAAAAACAAACAGTAGATAAAGTTTCGTTAGTTTTAATTTTATGAACAATTTCTACAAAAATTTTATATAATAATTCATAAAGCCCATTTCTAATATAAATACGTATGGCCATGCATGGAATTAATACGGCAAATAAGATATAATTTATATAAAAAACACAAAAAAGAAAATTCGGTATCAATATAAATTTTTGGATTCTAATAATAATATTTACATTTAAAAATATGTTAAAAACAAAAAAAAAACAGGAAAAATGTTTACTATCATATTATAAATTTAAATACATATTATATAATATTGAAAATAACTACATAATATTACGTTATTTTTCAAAAGGAGGGAGATGTAGTATGCAAATTAAATTTATCACTCGTGAATTTGTTAAAAAAATTTATTTTAATTTTTTATATTCACCTATTTACTATTACAAAATTATTTTGGTTCGTAACTTATTTTTCACTGCTCACAACTTTATCTTTTGTTCTGTCTTACTCGGTTGCAAAATCGGACTGCCCTGCTTTGGGTCAATGATCAATAATCAAACCTCTGCTTAAGAGATTTATCACAAAAATCTGATTAAGAGAGTCATCGAAGAGAGTCGGAAAAAGATAATGAAATTTGTCTATTAAATTTTAAATTGAAATTTTACAGAAGTGAAGTTCTACCGGAAATTAATGTTTACTTTAGCGGACTTGGGCCTCTGATGTTTACAATATCGGCTTGGATGTTTACAGAATCCGTTTGAAGCGAATCGCTCGAAACTGTTCTGGGTGGGAATCGATTGGAATTTTTGTTTACAGAAATAGCTGAACACGGGTTAATCTCGGAGTCAGTCAAAGTTAATTGGAAAGAGCTCTTGGCTCAAAGTTATTTATAAATTGGGCGAGGGCCCCTAAGTAATTTGTCTCATAACTCCCCCCATACTAAATTGAATCGTCCCGATTCATTGGAACTGATGGGTATAATGAATGTAATTGATTAGTCAACTCGACAATGATATTTTCTTCTACGGTATTTTCCTTGTCGGGGATATTAGTTTCTGGTTGTATTTCAATATTAATTTGCCGTGGTTTGAATATTAAGAATTTTCTGTTTTTAATTAAAAGCATGGTAATTAAATATATAAATGCGATTATGGTCAATATTAATGTAATTGGTATTTGAGTTTGTTTAATTTGAATAAAATGATTTAATACGTAATCATTTGATATAATATATTCGGATATTAAGAAGTCAGTATATTTTCGTGCAGTGATATATTCCAATATCTTATTGTCTACAATAGTGTAGTATTTATTATTAATTTTAGTGGTACTATTAAAGATGATTAAATATGGCCCATCTTAATGAGTGTCATTAACAGTATTATCTCCGTTTACAAAAATGGCTCCTTCTTGGATTACATCTATATTTTTATTTTTTTCTCTTATTTTATTACATAAGGATTTTTCCCCATTGAGTAATCTGGTAATACATGAACCTTCTGGGTTTAATGTGCAATAGTTGTTAAATAATTCCGTCTTAAAATTAGACATTACATAAAACTTATTTTTACATTTTCCGACATGATTATTGATTAACAATTTTCCATCACTATGTGAAATGGATCTTGACTTATTAATTTCACAACGATCGATAATTATGGGGTATTTAATATATATAATAATAAGATTTTGGTGCAAAGCGATTTTAAATTCAGATATATCCAATAGATCAGTAATAATTACAGGTTTTTGTTCATGTTTATAAATTTCCTGTATGTCATCATTGTTTAAAATTTTAGTGTTAAATACATCAATTTTAGCAAGTATAATTGTATCCATTAAGTTAATAAGATCGTAAGTAAGCAAGCGGAGGCGGTATTTTCTCAATGGAATCTCTTGATCTTTAAAAGCGGTTTTAAAAGTGTCAGATAGAATTTTAATTTCTTTAAATATTTTAGAATTAATAACGAATTGGTCATTATTGTTTTTTATCAAATCATCCATTTTATTTTGAACTGTTATGAAATCATCGTGATCTGGTGTTCCTGCTATCCATTTCCAAATTGTGCCTAATTCATTAATACCTCTTTTTGATCTAGTGGGTACTATTTGAGACATAAGTATTTTAATAAGTTTTAAGTCGTGTGATATTTTACAATTCTAATTGTTATGTCTGTTTAAAAATTCTGTTTCAAGATTAATTATATCTTTATAAAAACTTAATTTAGTTATATGAAATAAATCTGCGTATGATTCATAAATAAGGACTTATTTGGTATCCTTGTAAAGAAAAAAATCATGGTTTGTGTAATCCATAATTTCGGATTTGGTTGTAGCTACTAGCAATAATAAGTACATTTTGAATTCATTATCTGGAATTTAAAAATAAATCAATTTGTTTAAAATTTAATATTATCTTTATGAATCGTACGGTTTCTGTTATTAATAATAACTTTATTAGGGTGATTTTCCTTAACTACCTGTTTTTTATATCTAGAGTTTCTTTTCGTAAATTACTTCTCCTACATGATAGTCCTTTATTTTTCTGTCTTTGTTATGTTCCTCTAACATTTTCTCTTGTGTAGTTTTTAACAGTATAGGAATAGTATCGTGCTCGATTTTATTGCAAAGTTTGTCAAAGGGTTTTTGATTGGTTGTTGTATCAATGGTTTTATTATATTCTTGCGCGGCTCGTATTACGATTTCGGTATAGTCTGTTAAATTAAATTGTTCTTTGATGCAGCGGGCTAATTCTGTTAATGTCGAATGTGCCCTTTCAACTTGACCGTTTGAGGTACTGTGCCTCGGGTCTGCGTAATGTAAAGTTAAACCACTTCTTTGTGCGAAAGATTTAAATTGAGCAGAAGTAAGGCTCGGTTCGTTATCGGTCATTATTATTTTGGCTTGAGGAAACTGTTTAAGTAGTGTCATTACTTTATTTTCAATATTTAATTTATTTTGGATTTCTTTAACTACTAGAAATTTGGAATAGGCGTCAATACAAGTTATAAAAATGAGACCTTGCGCGTAATATATATCAATATGTAAATTTTCGCCCTCTTTAGATGGAATTGGGGCTTTACCAATCGGAATTTTAATTCGGTGTCTGTTATATTTGTTTTCATTGCAAATACTACGGTTTTTAATATATTCTTTTAATTTTAAATATAACTTTGGCCAGTAATACAATCTACAGATTTGATTATAGTTTTCATACAGTCCTCTGTGAGCTCTACTGTGTGTTTCTTCTATTATGATAGCCTTGTGTTCGTTGTTTTCTACATCTTGAAGGAATGGTCCTTGTGAAAAAAAATATCATTGTCGAGTTGACTAATCAATTACATTCATTATACCCATCAGTTCCAATGAATCGGGACGATTCAATTTAGTATGGGGGGAGTTATGAGACACATTATTTAGGGGCCCTCGCCCAATTTATAAATAACTTTGAGCCAAGAGCTCTTTCCAATTAACTTTGACTGACTCCGAGATTAACCCGTGTTCAGCTATTTCTGTAAACAAAGATTCCAATCGATTCCCACCCAGATCAGTTTCGAGCGATTCGCTTCAAACGGATTCTGTAAACATCCAAGCCGATATTGTAAACATCAGAGTCCCAAGTCCGCTAAAGTAAACATTAATTTCCGGTAGAACTTCACTTCTGTAAAATTTCAATTTAAAATTTAATAGACAAATTTCATTATCTTTTTCCGACTCTCTTCGATGACTCTCTTAATCAGATTTTTGTGATAAATCTCTTAAGCAGAGGTTTGATTATTGATCATTGACCCAAAGCAGGGCAGTCCGATTTTGCAACCGAGTAAGACAGAACAAAAGATAAAGTTGTGAACAGTGAAAAATAAGTTACGAACCAAAATAATTTTGTAATAGTAAATAGGTGAATATAAAAAATTAAAATAAATTTTTTTAACAAATTCACGAGTGATAAATTTAATTTGCATACTACATCTCCCTCCTTTTGAAAAATAACGTAATATTATGTAGTTATTTTCAATATTATATAATATGTATTTAAATTTATAATATGATAGTAAACATTTTTCCTGTTTTTTTTTTGTTTTTAACATATTTTTAAATGTAAATATTATTATTAGAATCCAAAAATTTATATTGATACCGAATTTTCTTTTTTGTGTTTTTTATATAAATTATATCTTATTTGCCGTATTAATTCCATGCATGGCCATACGTATTTATATTAGAAATGGGCTTTATGAATTATTATATAAAATTTTTGTAGAAATTGTTCATAAAATTAAAACTAACGAAACTTTATCTACTGTTTGTTTTTATGAATATTATTTTTTTTTTGCGTATTGCTTCTGTTTTATTTACGGTCTGCTGATAATATGTTATATAATATGTAGCTGTGTGTGTCTATATTTTTTTTGTTGTATTTGCTTAGAGTCTTCTAGTGTCCGTAATGAACGTCTTCATTGGATGCACTTAGAATACAATCTTCAAATATAGCTTTTGAGGCAGTTTTTGTAAATTTATTTGCAATTGAAAACTAAATATTTTGCTAGATCACTGCATATTCATTACCATTCTCAGATTTCGGTAGTGGACCAATAGTGTCTACTATCACTCTGTCGAAAGCACTATAAGGAATGTCAGTTTTTTTTAAAGGAGTATTACATTAAATCTTTTTTTTTTGTTTTGTTTTTGGATTACATTGAAAATTGTCAAGTTTGATAGTAGTGTTTTTATTTTTGCACTTTCACTGGTCCTGTCACGGTCGCCATGTAATAATGTAATGTCATATTGTCTGGCGACCACGACAGGACTGTTATGGTCGCCAAGTAATTATTCGAGTGAAAAAACGTCGTGTTCCGTTTGACTATATTTTTTTTGAAAACGTCAGCAATTTATCTTGACCCAATGGGCGATGTGGAAATCGTAGTTTCTTCTTGGAATTTAGTAAGTAAGAATAAAGGTAAGGAATTTAGGTTAATACAAAGGCTCGACTTCAATGCAGCCACTCGAAGTTAGAGATAATTGATTTACCGGAACTAGGGATTTTATAAATTAGATCTGATTGTACTGCTCGAAAAGATAATGATATCTTGGTAGCTCATGACAGTATTCAGTTAGAAGATCAAGGGACACTGGCGTTGTCACACATAGGAGAGATGAGCAAGACACCTGAAATTATTTGGAATCCGTTAGGCACACCTTTAGTTAACCACACAGCAAATATTAAAAACTGCATAAATTAAAGTTACATGAATTAGATTTTATCATGGTACTGGTCATACTTCGTTAATGGTAACTGTTGTCATAAAAAAATATTGGCCATATATTTTATAAGAAAAATAATCATACGAAGGCAATTGCAAGCCATAGATATTGTTGCGAGCGGAGTATATAATTTTAATTATATTTTAATTACATGAATACATACATTGTATATGCCCATACAAACTAACACATTCCTTCTCAAGAGTCCAGCCAACGAGCCGGACCTAAAATGCTGACCATGCATTCCCACGGAGACGACTGGCTCTTACACCAGCTAACACCAGCCGTCTCGTGGTATATATAAACATAAGACAAACATGCCAATGCATGCATATACTCCTATCACTGCTCACTTCAGCTTTTAGTATTTAAGAAGAAATTATTGCGAATAAAAGTTTAGTCTGAAATACCACTCACAACGACAACGTATTATGATTTCTCACAATATTACATGGCGACCGTGACAGGACAAGTGAAAGTGCGAAAAAGTGCAAAATTAAAAACACTTCATACACGAAACATTTAAAAATAAAGAATCATTACAAAATTATTTCTAAATCAAAAATTATATCCAGAAAAAAAACCGAATATTAATGTGATCCATAAAGAACCATAAGAATGAAATAAAATCAATAGAAAATTAATAATAATAAAAGGAACAAGAAGAACCATTTACAACGCATGGTAGGCAGGACCGCCCACTATGCCAACGATCTGGGATTCAAAAGAGGAGTACTAGTACGGCAAGCAATATCCGCTGGCTGTACGCCGTTGGAAAGGTATGGATGGTACACCCGTACCACGAAACGACAAATCCTCACTTCAAGAGGCACTGGAGGCGAAGCCGAAGGATGGACCAAGACCTTTAACTATTGTCGAATATAAAGCATGACAAGACTGTCATGGTCGCCAAGTAAGAACAATGTTGACATATGTACAGTGTGTATTCGATACGATAATATGTGCATACTACGCTTCTAGGATTGACTCCAACTCAGCGCTACAACGAAAAAAAGATGCACCTTTGCTTGAATTGCCTACGGAAGGGACGCAGCTTACGGCAATGCAGATCTGCCAGCTGTAGGAACTGCCACCAGAAGCATCATACTCTTTTGCATATCCAATCGAATCTCATTCCAACCCTTCCGCAGCCTGGTCCTAAAAAGCCGCCACATAGTTCATCTTTAGTTTCTATAGCCTTGCCCAAACCACCATCTATAGCTTCGTCGCCAAATAATGCCGATTACGTGTTGCTTGCCACCACAATAGTTTATTTAAAAAACCGCTCTGGCGTATTCGTGCCTTGCCGGGCCTTACTCGACTCGGCCTCTCAAATCAACTTCGTCACCTCTCGTTTCCAAATCAACTGCAACTCCAAATCCATCGCTCAATCATCTCCATATCAGGGATAAGCGAGTCCTCGCTAGCATTGGATGAGTCGGATAACATTTTCTCACAATCTGCTAATGCCAAGTATGTATGCATGTCGCTTGAAGCTGCCATTACCCGGTCAATCACCGATTATCACCCACAGTTCGACCTTAACCCATCTGAGTGGAAAATACCGTGGAAATCCCGAGCCCGCCGACCGCCGAGCCCGTCTACAAAAGTCAGCGAATTGACTTGATTATTGGAGCAAGTTTATTCTTCTTTGTATTGGACAATTTCGATTAGGAAACCATTTACCCACCCTGCAGAAAACCAGACTTGGCCTATACGCGCTCAACTTCAGCACTCAGTCTGAGCCTGAGTCAATTTCTGACAAATTAAAGATAAGTGTCCCAGATACTATAACAACTATTTCGAAGGAGGATGCTCTAGGCGAGAAACTATTTCAACCGCAACCTTCCCACGTACGTTTTAAGGCACTCGAGGTTACATTTGGTTGAGATACCCTGTCGGACCCTGTACCCAGACTGCAACCAAGCGCAGCATTCTTTCGGCAATATCCACTTGGATTAATAGCCCTGATCATCCCCCAAGCTAAAGATTTTTAAGCAGCTCCTATGGAAGGATAAGCTTGACTGGGATGAATCCCTACCGCAATCTTTGCACTCGTCTTGGTTGGAGCACATGTCACAGATCACAACAGCTGATTGCTTAAAATTTCCTCGCCTTGTTTTAATGAATAACTACCCTTGCTAAATTCATGGACTTCGTATTGCCTGCTGGATTTGGCTGTACATCCACTTCCTCCTCCTCGTTGGCAGTGCTGGCGGTGGCAGGTGGAACCAGAAGTACTGGAATAGGCGGCGGCCCCAATATATCCTCATTATAATCGTCGTCGTCATTTTCATCTTTACCTTCGTCGAGAACCCGCTCTTCTGGCCAGCTTTCAAGTGGAAGAATCGGACATGGCCATGCTAAGCTAGGCAGCATCGTCCTCATCAAGGAGGACAACTTACCCCCCTTGCGGTGGCGCCTCGGCAGGGTGGAGACCACTGTCTCCGGAAATAACGGCGTCGATCGAGTTGCGGTGATCCGCACGGAAATTAGCTGTCCTCCCCTTCGAAACCACTTCGCTTGGAAGTATGGCTCTTCCAACGGGGGGAGTTTGTCGGGAGCAGTAATCTAGCTAATACCAGAATTATGGCTTACAATTTGTTCAGCATCACTGTATGCTGAATTATCTCTTTTATCTATGAGAAAAGATGAGATAAGCGCTCGCGAGTCGCCGATTGCTCGGCTCGCCCCATCGTTCTCTATCGTTGTCAACACGGAGTCGCAGCTCTGCAATTTTTTGTATAATTATTAGTTGTAAAACATATCTAGAAACAGGTGGCATAAATTAATTATTATGTTCCTCAATCAAGTTGAACAAGAAAGAAACAATGAAATATACTGAACACTTTACATTCGAAAGATCAGAGTTAGAAAAACAATTTTATTATATTAATCATAAATGAATAAAAGTTTTATGTGAAATAAAAAATATTATTTTTTTCTTTTTGGGAATAAGGGATGGGAATTATATTCCGAGTCGCATACACACGCATAGCGTGCATCCTTGTCAAATGACGTTTTAATCGAGCTGAGATAACACTTATGTGACAGATTAATGAATTTTAAATCTGCACTAGAAATGGCTTTTCCTTACTTCTCGTATGCAGTCGCATGTACATTTAATTTCTTGCTTAATAATAACTCTATGCCAGATCTTGGTTCAGTACTGAGCTATACTTGTAACGTTCAACGTTACACATTTGATACATAAAAGTTTAGAAAAACTGGGTATGCGCAGCTCTGAAGGTCATTGAAGCTTGCTGACTTGAAAAACTATATATATGGTCCATGGTTGTGCCTGGCAACAACAAACGAAAAATTACGATTTGGTTATACATTCAAACAGGTTGGGTATCTCGGTTCAAGATGGACTTACCCAAAAAAAGTGAAGTGTAAGTATGTGAGTAATTGTGGATAAAAGACTTTAATTTGTAACCTTTTTACTTCCTTGTGTACTCCCTCAAATTCCAGCTTGAAATGTAATTGACGCAGCGGGGGCTTGTTGCGTTGTGGGATTGTCAGAAAAACAATAACCTTCCTTTTTTTATTCGGGGCCAAAGGGAGCAATCTTGGTATTATACGAATTTCTTTATATATAGCTTATACAAAAGCTTTTAAGTCTTAAAATATCCAATCATCATATCTTATTAATATTTCCTTTTATAGGGAAATTTACTCGTCCAATGATACTGAAAAAAAAAAAAATTGATAATAAGGAATGGTGGGAAATGAATGATTATTGCGATGATAGATTTTATACGGATATTCTGTCTGCATTACCATTAAGTAACTGTGAAAATGGAGTTGTCCTTTACATATTTAATGATAAATCTTTTCCGTCTGCTATGAGTTTTTTAGAGAAAACTGGGTATGTATATCTTCATATTTCTTTTTTTCGTTTTAATTAAATTAAATATTTATAAGGATTATTGGACTATATACAACATTTGTATATGTGGTTTCCAGGGTTATTCGATCCATTATTGCCAACAATCACAGACGTATTATGTTTGAGGATTTACCATATGTCGATCGAGTATTAAAATTATGCAACGATATATATTTGGTTCGTGAAACTCAGGAGTACCGTCTTGAAGAGGACTTATATGGGAAGCTTATTTTTCTGTATCGATCACCAGAAACGCTTATAAAATGGACACGACTTAAGGAAGGTTTTTCAGATGATTTGTCTAGTTTACAGACTAGCTTCCAATGAGGTGAGCCTCCAGCATACGGTATTAGTAGAAACCGTGGAAATTAAAACTTTATACGGTAAAATTATGGCGTTTGACAGAATGCGGATACATTAACTACGTAATTTTTTGGTTATAAAGTTAATATATAATAATAATATATTGTTTACAAAAACTCAAAAACTCTTACTTAATCCTGTAATAATTTACGTTGTTCGGCCTGGGTGTTGCAGAGATGTGAGGGGAGTGCACGCGAAAATATCCAGCTGCACCTCGTCGGCTCTTGGGGTGGTGGTCTTGGCCTCGTACATTTGGCCTTCAGCCATTCCTTTAAAAACGAATTGCGTGCTTCGCCAAAAAATTTGGGGAGTGACCCTCACTAGACTCAGACAAACGGTCATATTTCACTCAGATCCTCAGATGTTCCGAGGAATAAAGATCGCCCTTCCTGCCTTGGCTATTCGGAACCGAGTGGTGTCATGATTTTCGAAAGGCCATTTTGCTGATAAAGAAAAAGCCCTAACAGGAAAGTCATTCTAGGTGAGGCAATAAAAAGTAGATTTAGAACATTATAATCATACATTTTAATATTAGGAAAATGCTTTTAAGGCTTTTAAAGCTAAATATAATAATCATAAAGACTAAATCGTAAAGAATTGTTCATTGGCAATCAAAAACAAAAATACAAATAAATGATAATTAAATATTAAAAAACTAATCCTGTCATCAGCAGTTTCAAAAAAGTATATATTGATATATTTTTATATATAAAAATACAATTACATTTGGCAAGACAGCTTTTGCTTTACGCTCCTTAGTCATCGAAATTAAGGAAAGAACAAAATTAACTTGAAACAATGCTTGAACCAACTCTAATGCATCGCCGTTAGGGGCGGGACAGTGGGACGAGTTATACTGGCAGTTGAATTAATTAACCTTTTAATTTATTCCTAATATTAATCAACTAAAAGGTGCTTCAACCTTAAACATAAACCGCATGTACACTCTATGGGGAATCCACCGACGAAAGCCCTTCCGAAGATAATGCCGCCAACCTGTGGAGTCAAAAAAGTACAGGGCCCACTGTATATTGTTCGCTTCCTACTCACGCACTACCGTACACTTCATACGTAGATGTCTCAGAGATAGGAGGGATGTAATACCAATTCGATCCGAAATAATTAAATTCGGTATCATTGAATTGAAAATGAATCTCCCCAGATACAAGTGAAGAGTCTACAGAAATTAAAAAATTCCACCCCGGGATCCAAGATATCTTTCAAGCTTGTATGTTTAAATCGGCTCGTAAAAATTGCGGAGTTAAGAATTTTCGAAACTAGCCATGTTTCGGTAAAAACAATAATTTGGAATGCAAAAGAAAGACTCAGAAAACAAAGTAGGAAGCATAGTACGCAATTCCCTCGTTTTCTGATAGAAAAGAAAAAGAGACGATGTTAGTTTTTTGCAGGGAGTTGCTCAGTGTGTTTAACCTGTGAGAATTTTATCGCCACAGGTCGGCTAATTTTCTTTTTTATATTCCCCGGTCGATGTTCTTGGAGGAAAATGTGATCCAGCCAGAACTTGGTTGAACACATTTTGTCCGAGGGGACTTGTATCTTAAATGACGATATTTTTCTGTTATATTTATATTTAAATTTAGTAATATCATCCATCTTTATGTCGGCTTTCGATCTGGCTTGTATATAAGCCAATACATCTGATTCAGACGTAGCAGGTCTATTCCTGCGCTGCCGGTGCAAGCCAGTGGTCCGGCCACGGAATTCCCATGCAGTGTATCGGGCGGGTTGTTGTTAATGCGAATTGGCTATAGGGGCCAATGACCTTAAAGGGGACGGACTATCCGACGATTTCATACCCTCATGACCAGTAAATTTGGACGCCGAATTTCTCGTCATCACCGGAGTCGTGGCCATAGGCGTACTTAACAGCTGCGACGAAACTTGAGTGTTCTGTTGGTAAGAAGTGGGGGTACTGATGATGTGCGGCACCCATGAATTTGATTTTTTACGCTTTGGAGAAATAATATCGTTGAATTTTGAAGAATATAATCGTAATATAATATGATATGCACTCTTAGCATACCCCTCTTAGATCCGAGTCAGCATGGATCCCACACTGTGTTTGATGAATTCTACATGGCGACCGTGACACCATGCAACTGGACTCAACAACAGCAAGAAGAAAAATCAAGAATCAAGAATTTGACAACAACAATTGAAAAGTTCTACATGGAAGAAGATTAATGGGCAACAATACAAGGCTACATGAAGATATGTATAAAAAAAAGTCTGAGTGAATAGAGTGTGAGTGATGGTACGTGAAGGTCAGAAAAATAAAATTATTAAGAGAATAGCGCACATAAAGTGGCTGCTATTTGCACAGTCTAAACCACCCGCATGGACGACGGCTCAAAAACTTTATAATGAGCTTGAATTTTAAAGAAAAACCCTCCAAAATAGAGTACCACAAGTCACAACTCACTCAGGAAATTAAATAAAAATTATAAATCAAAAGCTAATAAAAAAACCAAATACTCCCAAGCCACTGCCGAAACGACCAGAAGTCTGCCCGACCGACTGCCGCGGACCACTATACTCTGCGGCATTCAATTCAAAGGATCGGCACCGGCCCCGCCTGAGCTATAGGCCACGGACATCAGCAGCAGATCAACAGCGAGATGGGCAACCTGCCACTTTCGCCTGCGAAGAGCCTCAGTGTAGCCAACCGGCGACGACCGGCTGAGTCAGAGGATGCGAATCATCAGTACGTACTTTAATTATGCGAATCATTAATAATTAATTATAAAATACTATAATTAATTATAAATCAACATTTTTGCAAAATCGTCCGAAACCATTTCCGCTCGTTTAGAAGTATAGCCAGTAAGTCTATGCGAAACTATCGGTAGGATATATGTAAAGAAAGCGAAAAAAGGGATATAGAAAGGCCTTTATCAGGTTGATGATGAAGATGAAGAGTATCTCGATAAGTAAATTCAGTGAGGAAATAAGTAAGAAGTATAATTATAATTATAATTCTAATTAAACAATAATGGGTATCCTAGACGTTAAGACAGTGTACTCCACTGCTAACGTAATAAATAAGGTTGAACCAAATAATATTGATTTGGAATTTGTAAACATAATGCTAATAATAATTGTTTTAATAATGTCCGCCAATTGCCTTCAAAACTTGTACAAGGACTTGGACAGAATTAAAAAAAAAGAACAAAGCGCATAAACAACAAATGTTAATGAAAAAAAAATATAATAAAATGTTTTTAAATAAGTTATAACAAGGAAATAAAGTAAATTTAAAACAATATATATATGTATGTATATTCAAGCATGTCGCTTAACGGATTAGGGCTATCGATAGTTAGCCGATCGTCGAAATCAGTAATTTATAAAGTCTGGTAGTTTTAGTTTATGTTATTCGGCCTTACTAGAATCGGGTAAGGAAAACCGATTTTGGCGGATCATTTAGACCGACTTGAGCCATTAAAGTTAGATTAAGTTAATGTAAGAAGTAGAGTTAAGTACCTATTGTTATTCTTTCAGAATAAACCAACAACGCACACACCCACGCCAACACGCATACAAACGAACTCCAACTATTGTCCAGCGTTTGTTTTAAGGCATTCCCCGTGATC